ATTTTTGTGTTAAAATGTATCGCTAGTCGGATTTAATGTTAGATGATGCCATCGTTGGTCGAGGGTCCACCGTATTTTCTTTCTAGTTCTTGTTCTTGTTTGTTTCCTCTTATCTCCATGGGGAAGTGGAACAGAATTCTTCTTCCGTAAGCCATGCGTGTTGTAGGAGGCGACTAAAATGCCGGGAGCAAGGGGCTGGTAACCCCTTCTCCTGTACAAATTACTAAATTTAAAAAGAAAAACTTGTTTTTCTTTTTGGGCCACCCTGTCTTGGTGGGATACGGTCGGTTTGTTGAAAAAAAAAATATATAATCTATCCTAGGTAGTAGGTTGGTAGACAGCAACCGCCCAGGGAGGTACTACCGTCCTGCCAAGTGAGTGTAAAACGAAAGCCTGTAATTGTTTTACATGATGATATGATTGCTGGTGTCCTTTTATCTGTTTCATAAACATGCAAGATTTCAGGTACGTCTTGCTACTTCTACTTACACTTAGGTCACACTACACATACATGTACAAACATATATATACATACCCCTCTGGGTTTTCTTTTATTTTCTTTCTAGTTCTCGTTCTTGCCTATTTCCTCTTACCTCTATGGGGAAGTGGAACAGAATTTTGCCTCCATAAGTCATGCGTGTCGTAAGAAGCGACTAAAATGCCGGGAGCAAGGGGCTAGTAACCCCTTTTCCTGTATATATTACTAAATGTGAAAGGAGAAACCTTTGTTTTTCCTTTTGGGCCACCCCACCTCTGTGGGATACGGCCAGTGTGTTGAAAGAAAGAAAAGAATATAATCTCTTAAGTCTTTTAGCCTCGGTTTATTTCAAAGATAATCCATTAGATAAGTTAGTTTGATTTTCTTATATTGGAGGAAAAAAATCTCATTTTTATAATCATTTGCATTTCTGGCAATTCTTTTATATATAGGTATTTTATTGTTGTTCTTACCTATTTCAGTAAGTCTTCCGGCCTAAGTAATATTCCTTATAACCTAATTGTCTTTGTCGCTCTCTTCAGCAATTCTTCCTTCTGCTTGGCCATTCACTCCTATCTAACATGCTCACGCATGCTTGCTGGAAGTCCAAGCCCCTCAACCACAAAACCTCCTTTACCCCGTCCCTCCAACCTTTTCAAGGACAACCCCTACCCCGCCTTCCTTCCCCTACAGATTTATGCGCTCTCCATGTCATTGTATTTCTCTGCATAGACAATAACAATAACCATGTTGTCTCTTGTCAAATGCGTTTATCTTTAATAGCTTGTGACTATTTTCTCAAATCATATTCAACAGTGTTTATTAGCTATTGTGGTTCTTTCACCTCATCCAGCTACCATTTTTTTTTTCAATCTTTGCTTTATTTGACCATAACTACACAGCTCTTGATGATTTTAGATTTAGACAGGTTTGCTTTTATATCTGTATTTCTCATTTGATGTATCTTATCTTAAATAATCTTTTGTTGTTTCTTTGTTTATTTTGTTAGGTGTAGGGACAGAGTTAACAGAGTAAAAATAAATTATTTAATGTTGGGTAAACCAATGATGGGGAGAGTAATACAGGTGGTTTATTATCACACTGGCCGTTTCCCACCAAGGCAGGGTGGCCCGAAAAAGAAAAACTTTCACCATCATTCACTCCATCACTGTCTTGCCAGAAGGGTGCTTTACACTACAGTTTTTAAACTGCAACATTAACACCCCTCCTTCAGAGTGCAGGCACTGTACTTCCCATCTCCAGGACTCAAGTCCGGCCTGCCGGTTTCCCTGAACCCCTTCATAAATGTTACTTTGCTCACACTCCAACAGCATGTCAAGTATTAAAAACCATTTGTCTCCATTCACTCCTACCAAACACGCTCACGCATGCCTGCTGGAAGTCCAAGCCCCTCGCACACAAAACCTCCTTTACCCCCTCTCTCCAACCTTTCCTAGGCCGACCCCTACCCCGCCTTCCTTCCACTACAGACTGATACACTCTTGAAGTTATTCTGTTTCGCTCCATTCTCTCTACATGTCCGAACCACCTCAACAACCCTTCCTCAGCCCTCTGGACAACAGTTTTGGTAATCCTGCACCTCCTCCTAACTTCCAAACTATGAATTCTCTGCATTATATTCACATCACACATTGCCCTCAGACAAGACATCTCCACTGCCTCCAGCCTTCTCCTCGCTGCAACATTCATCACCCATGCTTCACACCCATATAAGAGCGTTGGTAAAACTATACTCTCATACATTCCCCTCTTTGCCTCCAAGGACAAAGTTCTTTGTCTCCACAGACTCCTAAGTGCACCACTCACTCTTTTCCCCTCATCAATTCTATGATTCACCTCATCTTTCATAGACCCATCCGCTGACACGTCCACTCCCAAATATCTGAATACATTCACCTCCTCCATACTCTCTCCCTCCAATCTGATATTCAATCTTTCATCACCTAATCTTTTTGTTATCCTCATAACCTTACTCTTTCCTGTATTCACCTTTAATTTTCTTCTTTTGCACACCCTACCAAATTCATCCACCAATCTCTAATAATTGCACCAACCACTCCAGAACTATATCCCCACCTGCTTTTAACATTTCTATCTTTATCCCATCAATCCCGGCTGCCTTACCCCCTTTCATTTTACCTACTGCCTCACGAACTTCCCCCACACTCACAACTGGCTCTTCCTCACTCCTACAAGATGTTATTCCTCCTTGTCCTATACACGAAATCACAGCTTCCCTATCTTCATCAACATTTAACAATTCCTCAAAATATTCCCTCCATCTTCCCAATACCTCTAACTCTCCATTTAATAACTCTCCTCTCCTATTTTTAACTGACAAATCCATTTGTTCTCTAGGCTTTCTTAACTTGTTAATCTCACTCCAAAACTTTTTCTTATTTTCAACAAAATTTGTTGATAACATCTCACCCACTCTCTCATTTGCTCTCTTTTTACATTGCTTCACCACTCTCTTAACCTCTCTCTTTTTCTCCATATACTCTTCCCTCCTTGCATCACTTCTACTTTGTAAAAACTTCTCATATGCTAACTTTTTCTCCCTTACTACTCTCTTTACATCATCATTCCACCAATCGCTCCTCTTCCCTCCCGCACCCACTTTCCTGTAACCACAAACTTCTGCTGAACACTCTAACACTACATTTTTAAACCTACCCCATACCTCTTCGACCCCATTGCCTATGCTCTCATTAGCCCATCTATCCTCCAATAGCTGTTTATATCTTACCCTAACTGCCTCCTCTTTTAGTTTATAAACCTTCACCTCTCTCTTCCCTGATACTTCTATTCTCCTTGTATCCCATCTACCTTTTACTCTCAGTGTAGCTACAACTAGAAAGTGATCTGATATATCTGTGGCCCCTCTATAAACATGTACATCCTGAAGTCTACTCAACAGTCTTTTATCTACCAATACATAATCCAACAAACTACTGTCATTTCGCTCTACATCATATCTTGTATACTTATTTATCCTCTTTTTCTTAAAATATGTATTACCTATAACTAAACCCCTTTCTATACAAAGTTCAATCAAAGGGCTCCCATTATCATTTACACCTGGCACCCCAAACTTACCTACCACACCCTCTCTAAAAGTTTCTCCTACTTTAGCATTCAGGTCCCCTACCACAATTACTCTCTCACTTGGTTCAAAGGCTCCTATACATTCACTTAACATCTCCCAAAATCTCTCTCTCTCCTCTGCATTCCTCTCTTCTCCAGGTGCATACACGCTTATTATGACCCACTTCTCGCATCCAACCTTTACTTTAATCCACATAATTCTTGAATTTACACATTCATATTCTCTTTTCTCCTTCCATAACTGATCATTCAACATTACTGCTACCCCTTCCTTTGCTCTAACTCTCTCAGATACTCCAGATTTAATCCCATTTATTTCCCCCCACTGAAACTCTCCTACCCCCTTCAACTTTGTTTCGCTTAGGGCCAGGACATCCAACTTCTTTTCATTCATAACATCAGCAATCATCTGTTTCTTGTCATCCGCACTACATCCACGCACATTTAAGCATCACAGGTGGTTATAAACCAATAATGGTGTTGAAAAAGCAGGTAGTTATAAACTAGTGATGGTGGTACTAAAGAAGTGGTTTTATCAGTATTGGTAATGGTAATAATAAAAACCAGTGATGATAAACCAATTGCACATAATAAACCAGTCATGGTGGTGATAAACCTGTAATTCTGATAATGAACCAACAAGGATAAACCAGCAATGTTAAGTGATTATGATAAACTAGTGGAGGGTCATGATAAACTAATGATTGATATAATAAACCTGAGAGTGACAGTAAACCAGGGGATAATGGTGATAAACCACTTACAGCTGTAATAACCCTGGTAATGGTGGTGGTGGTGGTAAACCATTAGTGGTTCATTGAGTCTTGGTGCTGAATGGTCAGTGCTTTTGAAAAATAAATAAACTGACAATAAAAATTTGTTGAAAAATAAAATTCTTGCACATTAAATGTGAATGTGAGCTCTATAAATGTATTAAAGAAATAAAAGCGTCTCTCGTTACTGCCACACTTGTTTTCTCTGCTCAAGATTTCCTAGGATGTGTTAAGTGCATCCTAAGTTTATTTTTTAGATGAGCATGCCTCGAGATTTAGCTATTCCCATGTGTGAGCATTGTCTATTTTTGTAGGACTCACCTACATTGCTCATTCCATGAAGCTAGGAAATTAGGCCCATAATTACTTATGGTGGTGTGGTGTGTTTTCGTAGGTGTCATTAGCTGAAGGTTTTGAAATATAATTACAGTACTACTGCATTAACATAGATTAAAATTCTTGAATTGTTCATAATGTAAGGAGGAAATAAACTTAAAAAATCTTCTGGTCACAGCCAAAAATTTAAGCCAAGATTGTAGGAGTTTTCTTAATTTGATTACCATGGATAAATGAGTTATGCCATTTACAGAGATGAAATTCAAGTATGACTTACTTTGCAGGTGCAGAAGAGGGCAGTACAAGTGTAGGTACTGTGGTTGTGGTAGTGTTCCTGGTAGCACTTCTTCTTGGCGTAGCTGGTTGGGTCACGTATGCCTACTTCTTCCCACATTCCTCCTCAGGACAAATTCTGATTCGGGTAAGTATATTTTTGTTGGATTTACCCTTTGTGTAGTGTAGTTGTTTGTGCATGTATGAGTGTTGGCTAGCAAGTAGACTAGGAGAGAGGGAGAGAAATCTTTTCATTTACGTTTTTCGGAAAGGTAGATAACTGAAGGCCTTATATTTCATGTAGAGATTATCTGCTGGAAAGAGAGTAGGGGGCAGACAGAGTGGGAAGAGCAGGGAAATTTCAGTAGACCAGCAGATGTCTTATGGTAGGTATTTGCTGATGAGTATGGTAGAAATACACCTGGTACAGAGTATACCTTCATGATAGTGTTTCTTTCACCCACATGTCTATAAGAAAGGTCTGCTCTGAGCCAAGTGTTTTTCTATCAGACTAGTAACTAGATGCTAATGTCATCACTTGAGGCCACCCACTGAAACTCTATTTAGTTCTCTGCTAATTATTTTTTCAACTTTCATACTCAACTTCCACTATTTGTTTTCTTGTGCATTACGTCATCAATTTCTAAACATTCTAAGACAGTTCTAATGTTTTGTAACTTAAGCAAAAGACGAAAACTAAATTTCTTACTGAAATTAAGCATTCGAGTCCATTCTGGACCAGGACAAACGAAAGTGTCGTCTCCAGTTTGTTGCTTAATTGTTAAAGCCACAGTATTGCTATTTATCATTCAGATATGTGGCTTAATTGCCAAGTACGATGGCATAGCTTACCATCTTTTGCCATTGCAGTACCGCCCGAGCACATGGTCGTGGAAGAGAGGGGAAGCCCGCTACACTGCTGCATCCATTCACAGCATTCATATGTGAGCTCCTTTATGCATCTAAGTTAGGACCATAGTTTTCTTGCCTTTTTGCCTTTCAATGAATCATGTTTATTAAAATTGTGAAATTGTAAAATATTGAAATTTACAAATGCATTCTTGATATGGTAATGGAGAGTTGAACTTGACCAGAAGGGCAAATGTGTAAAGGTTGGAATAAGGACAATTACAGGAATGCCTTGTGTGGTGTAGTTAATTGGTGCCGAAACAGTTCTGTGCTGTGGAAAACCATGCTGTTTAAAACATATTGTAATGTGTTCCAAACACACAGTTACATTACAGTATTGGTGGAAAAATTAAACATTTGTTTACTGCAAACTCACTAAAAATTATCAAATAACAAAGCCAGATTTTTTTTTTTATTATTCAATACTAGTTTTCATTTAAAATATTTCAACAGTGTAGTTTGCAAAGATTTTTTTTCTTCATTTTCTCTGCATGCATATCTTTGTAACATCGAATAGCATTTTGCAATTCATGCCAAATTTTCGTGCTTTGTTCAGTGTTAGGATCAGGGTCCATACGAAAATCAGAAGCATTGTCTGTTCCTTTGATAAAAGTGAAAAGCTCATATAATAAGAATTCTTATGTAGGTGCTTCAGCAGCAGTTTCATCTAATTTATCTTCCTCTTCATATAAACGTTGCTGATCCATTTCCACCAGAGTTTCATTATCTAGATCATTTGAATGTGAGTCGATGCATTTGCACACATTGTTAGAATCCAAAGTTTCAAATCTGAGATCTTTTCCATTTTGTACAATGTCTTCAGAAACTGTTTTAATTTGCCACTCAAAACCAGTGAAATCATTGCTACAATTCAGTAAAACACACCACCACAGAACTCTCATATTGCTGGCAGTTACTTCATGCCATGATATACCAGTATTTTCAAAAGCATATCTGATATCAAAACATTTCCAAAAATCTCTCAGAGTTATGGCACCCCCCATCTCCTGTTGTTCCTTTTATGGCTTGAGGAAAAGTTTATCTTAATAGGCATTAAACATAGCAATAGCACCATGATCTATGGGCTGCAGTGATGATGATGATGTGTTGGATGTGTTCCATGCGCTGATGAGTAATGCAGTTCATTACTACTAAAAAAAAATTATAAACTTTAAAATTATAAACCGCATTATGCAAGGTATTACTGTACACACATTTTGTTTTAGAAAAGTTTGAACTTCATTATTTCTGACTACCATTGTATTTTCTGCTTCATACTCGCCTCTCAGGTAATTTTCAAGTGTTAAGCCTACCTGGTATTATTTCTGAATCCCTCTTCTGCAATATTATAACTTTATTATTCTCTTTATTTGATGCAGTTTGTGCTTAGGAAACTTGGAATGTTATGTAATTTATTGTAGAAAAAATTGTGTAATGCTGTATCACTTTTGCTTTAAAAAATTATTTTTGTAATGATAATCACCTACAGATCTGATTTGCCTTACAGTTTAAAGAAATGTAGCATAATATTTAAATAGTTTAGATTTATGAAATAACAGTTCTATTTTATACATCAAATGTTTTTGAGACGTGGTATAGTTTATTTAGAGAAAATATCCAGATGAACAAATGTTAGTGTTAGTTTGAAAGTGTTCTCTATACTGTTATACTTAAATTAAGCAAATTTAATACATTGTGTAGCTGTAGCATTTTTCTTTAACTTACACACTGACTTTTATAACAGTGTGAGCAACTATCACTTACACAATAACTAAACCAGCATTTAGTGTTTGCAAGTATTTTGTGTTCCCTCTAAAGTAACACTGAGGTATTTTTACTAACTTGGGACACTACTAGTATATGTGATCAATCCCTATAGGATGAGAGTTACCTTGGCAACAGTACATCAAAAATGTATGTTCAGATTTTATACTTTTTAATATTAGGAGAATTAAGATTCCATATGTTCTGTTACACAAGACAGTGCATCAGATGTACATTACTCTGAATTTAGGAATTTATTTAACCATTAATCATGTGTTTTGCCTTCTCCAACTCCATTATGCTTGCTAGCTAACTAGCAGATGATTACAGCATTGCCAGATAAGTTAGTGTTCCCACCCACAAAAATAGTAACATTTTGAATGGTGGATGGGGGGCTCACACCATGGTCCCGAGATTAACAGGACCAGCACTTTACTGCTGAGCTGTGGGACTTCCATAGAAAGGTTTCACAGAAGACAATACTGTGGCTTGTCTTCATCAGTGACTAATATCTGTAACCTTACTTTCCCACAGCACCAGTAGCTTTCACAGTAAATTAATCCTTGCCTCCCTTAAAGTCTGTGAACTCGATTCAAGTTGTAATGGACGAGTGTCAGCGAATGAGCAGAAAGGTAGACGTGGTGCTCAAATGGCTCGTCTACCTCTCTGTTTATTTAATTGACAGCTCTTCATTATGACTTGAATTAAGTTCATAGTAATATTTTCTTTATCTTTTCAAAATTTTCACTTTCTAATGTAAATCATGTTAGCAAGAATAATGTAATGTTAATTGCAAGTGACAACTCTGCCTTTTTTTTATGTTTTTAGATGCATTTTTTGTTAATTTTTCCTTGGTCAATTTTTGATTGCATAAGGTACAGGTTGATTTTTGTTCTTTTATTTTTATGTTTTAAATAGTTGTACATGGAATGTGTGGTAGTTATGCAATATTTGCAAGTCTTTGTCTTTCATGACATCTTAGAGTTAAAGATATTAGTACAACGGGCTGATAGTGCTCAAATTCAAAACGAAAAGAGGCTGAGTTCTTCACAGAGTTGGCATTCATTAATGGAAGATCCAGACCAAGGCAAAACATAGAAGATGGATGCCCAGTAAAGTTGATCAATAGAAATGTTAGAAAGTACTCAGAGTAATCCAGAAATGGAACTGTTTGGAAAAGACGCAGTAGAAACTGAGCAGTACTGTGTGCTCAGTGCAAATACAATAGGGCTCATGTGCAAACTAAAGTTTAGCACTTAGTGTAACTATGCATGTCATGACATGTATAGTTAATTTAACAAGTGACTGCAGAGAATGCATTTTGTAAGTGGAAAGATGGACAGTGGGTGGGAGTGTGGATTAGGTTTTTGTGGGTGGGTAGGTTAATGTGTGCGATGGGGTGCACATGCATGTGTGTGTGCATGTATATGTATTCACCTATGTGTATATGATTGCAGGATCAAGTGTAGACATAACATACAAAATACTCAGAGGAATTGATAGGGCAGAGAAGGACAAGTTCTCTGAAAGGCTGGAAATGGGTACTTGGAAGCACAGCTGGAAGCTAAAGACAGATGTCACAGGGATGTCCAGAAGCATTTCTTCAGTCTCAGGGTGGTCAGGAAGTGGAATGACTTTGATGATCAAGTGGTGTAGGCAGACTCTATACAAAGTTTTAAGAATAGGTATACTAGGGGCCCATGTGGCTAAGAGAGGCAAATGGCAAGTTGAGAGGCAGGGCCAGGAGCTAAGAGTCAACCACTACAGCCACATATGGGTGTGTATATGTAAGTGAAACAAAAACAGAGAGAGAGAGAGAGACAATGTGAATGAATATAAAATATAAAAATCATACTTAATGGCTTTGCAGTGTGAATAAGAATAAAATACTGCAGTTGTAGAAGTCTTTAATGTACACAGTGTACATGCCTTGCCACAATTGCCAAGGGTATCAAATTAATACCTTAGGATCTTAAGTCTCTTGATCCATCTCAAGCTTGAATGCTGCAAAATATATTGGGGTGCAACATATCAATTAACTTTATTGCCAGATAGTTTGTGTGTACAATGTTGAAGTAATGTTTGTCAGAGTGAGTAGTTTATTATGCCTACTGTATATATATCTATATATGTTAGGGATTAGAGAATGAGTAGTTTAATTATGCCTACTGTATATATATATCTATATATGTTAGGGATTAGAGAATGGGGTTGCCCAGTTGAGATTCTTAAATTTTGGGGGATTATTTTCTTTGGAAATTTAACTTTTAATGTATCACTGCATAAAAGAAAGGATTTTTTATTCAAGGTTTGGAGTTAGGAGCTTGCTAGTCAATGGAGCAAACACTGCTACTAAATATTCATATTAACTCCATTGAACATTATTTAAGTGTTAATCATTCAGTATTTAGATGCTTTCAACTTACTGTGCTATAAATTTCATTATTTTCCAGCATATGGTGTGCTTTTTTTCCCCAAAAACAAAGTTTAGGAAAAATTATCCTGTGCCTTATATACTCAAAGTCAGGAGTAAGGATAGACTTTGGATTACTGGTAAGTGGTGGTTTCAGTGCTGCAGTGCCGGTAAACTAAACTCCAAACATCTTCCGCCCTACAAAACTATTTCTCAAATTACTTCAGTCATTAGTCATTACAGTAATGCTTCAAATTAACTAACCTCCATTTATCAGATTTTGAAAAAAATTGGGCAAAAAAAGAAAAAAATGGGCTGAATGAACATTAGAACCATTGGACAAAAAGGAAAAAGTTCATAAATTCCAGAATTTGTCCATAGTGAGTGTCCAGTAATTCTTTGAATTATCGGACCAAGTTCGAAGATTCCGATGTTTGTCTGGTAGGGTCTAGTGTGTCCTTGTCTAGGACCAATTTGTTCCCTGAGCCATAGGTGGCGCATGTCAATTTGTGTGTGTGTCTCTCTCTCTCTCTCTCTCTCTCTCTCTCTCTCTCTCTCTCTCTCTCTCCTCTCTCTCTCTCTCTCTCTCTCTCTCTCTCTCTCTCCCCTCTCTCTCTCTCTCTCTCTCTCTCACTCTCACTCTCACTCTCACTCTCACTCCTCACTCTCTCCCCTCTCTCTCTCTCACTCTTTCCTCTCCACTCACTCACTCTCTCTCTCACCTCACTCCTCTCTTACTCACTCTCACTCACTCACTCACTCACCTCATCTCACTCTCTCACACCTCACACACACACCTCTCCACTCACCTCACCCTCCACTCCTTTGTATTACTACGTCTATTCAGTCCTCCATTTCTTCCTTTATCTCTCCTTGTCTCTTTCGTGGTTTAGTCTTCTTTTTGATTAACTCAATAATAGTTGCTTTTCTTTTACATATCTTACAAGTCATGCTTCCCATCTGGCTCGTCTTCAAAATCATGTTCTCTGATTCGAATTTACTAAACGAACTTGTCTATCATCTCGTCACAGTATCTAATTCTCATAAAATGTCTGATATCTGTAAACTGAGGACAACTTCACCCTGTCTCTTAATCTAGTCTTTCTCCATATTTCTCTTCTGTTCCCTAGAAGCATATATTCACTCTCATTTCTGCATTTTGATCAACACAAATGGTATCATCAGGCAACTTCAGTTAGTGTTTAATGTTCTGTGTTTGATCTCTCATTCTGCTATCTCATAGACTGCCACTTCTATCTTTCAACATTGCTTAACAACAAGGCTTAATACATGCTTAAGTATGTAAGACTATAATGCTGGTCCCAAATCCTGGATTTACATGCCTTGTGTGACTTAAAGTGGGTTTAGTGCTTCTTTTTGATTAAAATAATAATAGTGTGCTTTAATTTACATATTAAGTACAAGTACAATGGCTTCTAAATGGTGGTGCTGAGACAAAAGAAATCATGGTTTTCAAATGATAAGCAGAAATTTGAACTAAAAGGAAGGTTGAGTCAAGCATCTCAGTGGCACAGGTATGTGAGGATTGTGGCAATAAGACAGTGTCTGATATCTGTAGAAGTGAGGACAAACTTACACCCTGTGCTCTTAAGTTTAGTGTAGATGCTGGCCATAATGGTTCAGTAGTTGGTCCTAGAAAGCATATGAAAAGAGCCCATGATGAAAAGTTTGAAACAGAGCACAAATGGTATCATCAGGCAACGTTCAGTTAGTGTTAATGTTCATGGTGTTGATCTTCATTCTGCTACTCATAGACTGCCAGAGCATATGATCATATAGTTTCAAGCAAGTGATGGTTGACCTTGGTGCTTATGTAATTGTCATGGCTTAAATAATGTGTAAAGACTTATAATGAGGCTGGTACTGCACCCACAAACAAAGTTGAGCCATTCAGATTAATGTTAAATCATCTAATAGAAGGTGAGAAGCTCCTTTGATCTCAACCTTATAATGCTGACGAGACTGGTCTCTTAGTATTCATTTCCTTCCAGCACACTGATTTTTCAGCATGAAGATAGAACACCAGGCTGTAAGCTCAGCAGACAACTTCTCAGTGTTATGGTTTGATATTGCTGATGGTTCTCTCCACTTAAAACTGAAGGTCACAGGCAAATCAGCTCAGTCTTATGTTGTAATTTAAGGGATTGCATGAGTGAGTTGCCAGTAAATTATTACAAGAGTTAAAAAAGGCTGGTTTGACAGGGATGTATTTGATGACTGTTTTTTTACACATTTCATCTCTGAAGTATGCGAGCACCAGCTAGAGGTCCTTAAACTAGATCCTGTGAATGTCAAACTACTTCTGTTGCTTGATAATGCACCTGCTTACTCAAGGCTTGAAAACTCAAGCAGAAGAGATAGTAAAGTTAAAGCCATGTTTCTGGTCCCCTGTTACCACTTCCTTGACCCAAGCAATGGGTCAGGAGGTTATTGCAGCCTGTAAGAGGCTGTCCCAGCCTAGGTGCATCAGTTAAGAACTGATAGTGATTGAGGAGGATGAAAATTTGGAAAGAGATACCAAAAAAAAATATGATGTGAAGTCTGCCATCTTCAACTTTGCAGCATTATGGAAGGAACTGAAAAGACAACAACGAAAAATATTTTTGTTTAACTTTGATATCAAGTTGGACTTTGAGAGGGTTGAGCCCAGTGATTTTTATCATACCCTTTAAAGGGTGGGAGAAACAGATGTTACAAAGATGTAATGGCATGGTTAGAAGGATTTAATGGCGATCCTGTTCGTTGTTCAACATCTCAACCATCTAGGTTTTCTTAACAACATGTGTCTTCTCAACCATCTACATTTTCACTAGTAGAGCTTTGCAGTTCCTCTGACTCAAAATAAATGTTATTAAGTCACCACTATTAATCATGATAGTTTACGTTTCATCCCTCCACCACAAAAAGGCAGGTAAAATTATTGTAAATTACAATAAAATTATTATATTGTACTCAACATGTACAGCACTATTGTATAGTACTTTCAACTTCTTTTTTATATACAGTACTGTAATGTTTTACAGGTTATAGTACCCATGTTCTTAGGTGTCCAGTAGTCTTCTGAATCAACAGACCAAGTCTGCTGTTTTTGAACTTTGTCCGTTTGTTACGATCATGAAAAATTAATTTCATAATTCGGAATCTATGGGCAGTCATGTACACACTTTCCTGCCTAAGTCCATTAATTCAATGGTTACTCTATTACAAATTATAATTTACATATTACTGGTGCATAAAAAGCAAACCAGTTTCAACAACTGTAAATAAGTATCCGTCCATAAACAACAGGTAGCTATGTATTAAAGTTGGTAGAATTGCCGACGATATGTTAGGTAGCTATGTTTGTGTTGGTGGTATTGGAGCAGATGACAGGCTATGCAAGGCCCCCGCCTCTCTCAGCTATACTGTGTGCATATGCAGCCAGCTACTGGTTCATTTGTGATTTTGAAGTAAGCATTGCATTTTTTTTTTTTTTTCCCCAGAATATGCATGACAAAACTGGGATATGCCTTGTATGCTTGTGCTCCTTATATGCTGGAAAACACAGTAAGTCAAAATAGAACTTAATAATTTTGAAGATCACTGATCTAAGAAGGTATTCTGACATTTGATTCTTCAGCCTCATTAAGGGAATGGGCTTGTTTATAAAATTTGTAATATTGATTTTTTTTTCATACGGCAACTTTCTCAGGTATTAATTAGAATGCAGTGAAGATGAATCCTATAAATCATATTTTACCCAAGGGATTCAAGAAAAACATAGTACAGTACAGTGTCTTGTATACATACATGGAAATCTGTAAGTAATGGATGTGCGTGCTGTTGTAAAATGTGTGGAACTCTTAAACAGTTAATTTAATTTAATTTAATTAATTTAATTTTTTTTTTTTTTAGGATGAACACATTAACATATTTTTATTCTGTACTATCTCTCTTGATCAAAAAGACAGATTTATAAGGGATGTGTGAAAAGATTGGTCCGATGATGATAAAATTGTGGAAAACAGGCTGTGTAGTTGATCGTAATAGTTGAATATGATTTTCTTGCTGTCTAACCTAGTACATGTACCATATAGCTGTATTTAAAAAAAAAAAAAAACAGTTAGTCAGAGATATGCTCTTCTGTGTTAGTGACACCAGAAATCATGTACTTGGAACTGAATCTTAAAAATTGCAACAAATCATTGATAACATTTGTCTTGCTGTAGATACTATACTGGTATAATTGTAAGGGCCTTATATTTGTCTTATTGTGTACAGGATCCTTATTGTTTATTGTTACGGCAATGAGAATATATCGTAATATTCATACAGTATTCTTGTAATTTTCTTGAATCTTATTTCTGTTATATCCTAATTATTATAAATGGTAATGCTGTTTTTATTATAATATTCTTACTAATTCAAATTAATTATATGTAATCTGTTACCATTTTTATGTATAAACTTTGGAAATTTAACCTACGAGAAGCTAATCTGTTTGATATGGATAAAGGAGGTAATGATAGTGTTATTGGTCTACAGTTTTGTACAGTGCAATACTGTGATGATATTGGTTTCTATATAACATAATATACTGTAATGTCTTATTATGCCATGTTTGTGCATAGTAATTTTACTTAAAATTTACTGCTTTTATTATGAAAAATAGCAAAATGTAGCACTTTCAGCTTTGGGGTCAATATTTTGCTGTAGACTTTAACCCATAAACGGTCCAAACGTATACGTATATACATTCACTACTGTACTGTCCCAACTTTTTTAAGAAAAAAAAAAACATTGTTGTTTTTAATAGGAAAAAAGAGCATATGGTACCCAGGCATCCCCAATTATTTTAAAATATTGCACAGTGAGTGCTCACACTCATTCTCTCATGTATAGGCGACTCAGGCTTATCGTGGCAATGTTAAATGTATGACACATAAAACGTATATATACGTTTGGGGCACTAGCGGTAAAAACGTATACGTATATACGTTTGCACCGTTTATGGGTTAATTGAGGTTGCCTGTCCATTGTTTTAATATAGTTAAAGATATGGACAAGCAAACATATTCTGCCCAATTGTCAGATGGTGCCACCCATATATGTGACCTGTAATGGTCCTATTAGCCAAAAAAAAAAAATTATTAAATACCATTGCATTCAAACCAGGGCAAATAAATAAAATTTTAATATTTTTCAGTTTAATATGTACAGTACAGTACGTAATAATACTGTGCTGAACTTTAAGTGTGTATAATGGTTATTTGAAGTGTGTATAATGGTTATTTGAAGAAGGTGCTGCATGCCAGCTGGCATGCAGCACCTTCAGACAGATTGCAGACAGAGTGGGACTTCCCAAGCACTTGTTAATGTTACTGGGCAACCATAAATTATGACCATCAGTGATCAACACCACCAATCTTCACATTTGCTTGTGGTCCTAGTACTGGCAGTAGTTGTGCATAAACCCATTAGTTCTGGTGGCTTCAGTAGTATTGGTGATCTATGAAGTCATTACTGCATGATCTGATGATGGTCACTGAAACATCAGTATTTACTTCCTCAAGAATTTCAAAATTATATTTCAACTAAAGGTAAATGCTGTAAAGTTTCAAAATGTTAATTATTGACCTGTTGAAAATTAAGTTGACTCCATTAAGATAATTATGACAGTATCTTGTTGTTCGGATCTGCTTCCACTTTGGCATTTAGTAGAACTGCCTGCCAAAATAATTCAATGACTTCAGCTAATCAGCATAAGCAACTTTTTTTTTTTTCAACAAAATAGCCGTATCCCATCAAGGCAGGGTGACCCAAAAAGAAAGACGAAAATTTTCCTTTTTAAATTTAGTAGTTTATACAGGAGAAGGGGTTACCAACCCCTTGCTCCTGGCATTTTAGCTGCCTCTTATAATACACATGGCTTACAGAGGAAGAATTATTTTCCACTTCCCCATAGAGATAAGCAACATTAGTTATCTTAAAATATTTAAAAAATGTTTATATGACTTTTTATATTTTCCTGTATTTCCCCTGGTTGAAGTTCAGTGACCATCTTTCTGATAATTCCAGCAGGCTGTCCTGTTTATCTTGTAAACTTCCCTGGTATTGACTCTCTTCATTAGCTTTGTATTCCACAAACAGGGATTAGCAGGTATTCTTATCTTGTCAAGCATGCTGTTTTCATGTATTACGAACAGTAACAGTCCCATTATGAAAAGTAGGACACCACTTGTCATATTCATTTGTCTGACAACTCTTCCAGGACCTCTATATTCTTGTGTGTGTAGGTAGGTAGGTAGGTAGGTAGGTAGGTGGGGACAAAAGTTTTTGATTTCTCCTAACTTTACAGTATAGTGAAAGCATTTGCCCAGTGGCCAGGACGTAATCCACAATAATTTTCTAACAGAAAAAATGTAAGGAAACTTACCACTCTCTTGCCCTGCCTAGGATTTGAACCCAGGATTTTTCAATTCTGAGTCAACTTTGACTTCTAAAGACACTTAGGTACAGTTCAGGACATTTATTAAAGGAAACATTTCACCACAAGTGGCTTCTTCAGTCCTAAAGAAGCTACTCGTGGCAAAACGTTTCCTTCAATAAATGCCCTGAACTGTACATAAGTGTCTTTTTCTACATCTTGTCGGTATCTCCAGACCATTTTTCTTTTGACTGCTAAGTTTCATCGTGTGGCAGCAGAAGAACACTATGTTGCCTGAGGAAGTGTGTGTATATGTGCATAACCATATACACAACAAATATGTTCAGTGAAAGATAGAAACCACAAGAGTGACTGTTAATGCTACATATGATATATTAAAAAATGTAGTATATCTTGAGCAGCTTTGATATTCATTTTTAATTTTATACACATTATATGGAGGGGGAAGGGGAATATCCAGTATTTTGTATGTATGTATATATATGGAGGGGTTTGGGATATTGGCAGTTTGGAGGGATATGTTGTGTATCTTTATACGTATATGCTTCTAAACTGTTGTGTTCTGGGCACCTCTGCAAAAACAGTAATTATGTATGAGTGAGGTGAAAGTGTTGAATGATGATGAAAGTATTTTCTTTTTGGGGATCTTCTTTCTTTTTGGGTCACCCTGCCTCGGTGGGAGACGGCCAACTTGTTAAATAAATAAATATAAATACATATATATATTTTTTTTTTCAACAAGTCAGCCGTCTCCCACCGAGGCAGGGTGACCCAAAAAAGAAAGAAAATCCCCCAAAAGAAAATACTTTCATCATCATTCAATACTTTCACCTCACTCACACATAATCACTGTTTTTACAGAGGTGCTCAGAACACAACAGTTTAGAAGCATATACGTATAAAGATACACAACATATCCCTCCAAACTGCTAATATCCCGAAACCCCTCCTTTAGAATGCAGGCATTGTACTTCCCATTTCCAGGACTCAAGTCCGGCTATATAAAAATAACCGGTTTCCCTGAATCCCTTCACTAAATATTACCCTGCTCACACTCCAGCAGATAGTCAGGTCCCAAATACCATTTGTCTCCATTCACTCCTATCGAACACGCTCATGCACGCCTGCTGGAAGTCCAAGCCCCTCGCCCATAAAACCTCCTTTACCCCTTCCTTCCAACCTTTTCGAAGATGACCCCTACCCCGTCTTCCTCTCCTACCGATTTAAATGCTCTCCATGTCATTCTACTTCGATCCATTCTCTCTAAATGACCAAACCACCTCAACAACCCCTCTTCAGCCCTCTGACTAATACTTTTATTACTCCACACCTTCTCCTAATTTCCACACTACGAATTTTCTGCATAATATTTACACCACACATTGCCCTTAGACAGGACATCTCCACTGCCTCCAACCGTCTCCTTTCAGCTGCATTCACAACCCAAGCTTCACACCCATATAAGAGTGTTGGTACTATTATACTTTCATACATTCCCTTCTTTGCCTCCAAAGATAACATTTTTTGACTCCACATATACCTCAACGCACCACTTACCTTTTTTCCCTCATCAATTCTATGATTAACCACATCCTTCATAAATCCATCTGCCGACACATCAACTCCCAAGTATCTGAAAACATTCACTTCTTCCATACTCCTCCTTCCCAATTTGATATCCAATTTTTCTTTATCTAAATCATTTGATACCCTCATCACCTTACTCTTTTCTATGTTCACTTTCAACTTTCTACCTTTACACACACTCCCAAACTCATCCACTAACCTTTGCAATTTTTCTTTAGAATCTCCCATAAGCACAGTATCATCAGCAAAAAGCAACTGTGTCAATTCCGATTTTGTATTTGATTCCCCATAATTTAATCCCACCCCTCTCCCAAACACCCTAGCATTTACTTCTTCTACAACTCCATCTATAAATATATTAAACAACCATGGTGACATTACACATCCCTGTCCAAGACCTAATTTTACCGGGAAATAGTCTCCCTCTCTTCTACACACCCTAACCTAAGCCTCACTATCCTTATAAAAACTCTTTACAGCATTTAGTAACTTACCACCTATTCCATATACTTACAACATCTGGCACATTGCTTCCCTATCCACTCTATCATATGCCTTTTTTAAATCCATAAATGCAATAAAAACTTCCCTTCCTTTATCTAAATACTGCTCACATATATGCTTCAATGTAAACACTTGATCTACACATCCCCTACCCACTCTAAAACCTTACTCATCCGCAATTCTAAAATTATGTCTTACCTTTAGTTCTTTCAATAATAACCCTGCCGTACACTTTTCCTGGTATACTCAGTAAACTTATTCCTCTATAATATTTACAATATTTTTTGTCCCCCTTTCCTTTATATAAAGGGACTATACACGCTCTCCGCCAATCCCTAGGGACCTTCCCCTCTTTCATACATTTATTAAACAAAAATATCAACCATTCCAACACTGTCTCCCCCTGCTTTTAACATTTCTGTCATGATCCCGTCAGTTCCAGCTGCTTTACCCCATTTATTCTACGTAATGCCTCACGCACCTCCCCCACACTCGCATCCTGCTCTTCTTCACTCCTAAAAGATGGTATACGTCCCTGGCCAGTGCATGAAATTACCGCCTCCCTTTCTTCGTCGACATTTAAAAGTTCCTCAAAATATTCTCCCCATCTACCCAAAACCTCCATCTCCCCATCTACTAACTCCCCTATTCTGTTTTTAACTGACAAATCCATTTGTTCCCTAGGCTTTCTTAACTTGTTTAACTCACTCCAAATTTTTTTTCTTATTTTCATTTAAACTTTCTTGACAGTACCTCTCCCACTCTATCATCCACTCTCCTTTTGCACTCTCTCACCACTCTCTTCACCTTTCTTTTACTCTCCATATACTCTGCTCGTCTTATAACACTTCTGCTTTGTAAATACCTCTCATAAGCTACCTTTTTCTCTTTTATCACACCCTTTACTTCACCATTCCACCAATCACTCCTCTTTCCTCCTGCACCCACCCTCCTATAACCACAAACTTCTGCCTCACATCATAATACTGCATTTTTAAAACTATTCCAACCCTCTTCAACCCCCCCACCTTTCTGCCAATAGTTGCTTATATTTCACCCGAACTTCCTCCTCCCTTAGTTTATACACTTTCGCCTCCCTCTTACTTGTTGCCATTTTCCTCTTATCCCATCTACCTCTTGCTCTAACTGTAGCTACTAGATAATGATCCGTTATATCAATTGCCCCTCTATAAACGTGTACATCCTTAAGCCTACCCATCAACCTTTTATCCACCAATACATAATCTAACAAACTACTTTCATTACGTGCTACATCATACCTTGTATATTTATTTATCCTCTTTTTCATAAAATATGTATTACTTATTACC